GGAAAAGGGAACACAGGGTGCGACAACATCATCAGTTGGGTACGTCGTTCGCCGCAAGCGCGGCCTTGGCCGCCCTACTCGCTTCTACAGCAGTGTCCGGTCGCCGTTTCTTCCCCCCCCCCGCCGCTTCCCCGGTTCTCTTTCTCTTCGGGCCCGGGGCGGCCGTACTCTCCGTCTCTGCTTCCTCCGCGCGCTGGCGCTGGCGCTTCGCGGATGCTTCCGCCTCCTGTCTGTGTCATTTCCTCATGAACCATGCCGCCTCGTCGTCGATCTTGTCGTACCACGCCTCCTGATACAGCAGTACCCGGGTATAGTCTACCCGTTTCTGGTTGTTGGTCTTTTCAAACTATGGATACCGCGGAGCCCCCTGACGAGCTCTCAACTCAAACTGCTGTCAACTGCTCGTGCTGTCACTGGTTGCACCAGGCAAACTCACAGCTATGCCTTTCCACCAAAGCGGCTGCTCAAGATAGACGCAGAAGCGAAGCGGGGCTCTGCATTGCTGGCCTCGGAGGGTGATGCTGCGCCCTGGCTCTCGAAGAGAATCGCCGCTGCCGTTCCGCACCGCCGGGGAGAGCCCCGTTCGAACCGGCAATAACACCACCGACGCAAACGGTAACAACCCTCGCCAGGGATACCGCCACCGACAAGGCTTCCACGATGGAAGGGGTGATAGGTGGGAGTACCCTCCTCGGCGAGGAGGCGGCAGCAGGAGCACCAGCAAGAGTAGGTGTTCGATGAGCGACGACAGCGACCGGGATGATGCTGAAGAACCGTTCGCCTCGAAGCAGGCAGCAGCACCTACAGCAGGATCATCGACTTCGTCGGTGCTGCACCAACACCAGTACTCAGGCACGGCGGCGCACGACGATGAGCTTCGAGTCAGCTGCAGCTCCGCCGCTGTGGACCGAGGACTTGCCGGAGTTGCAGCTTCCCTGCGGTCGTCTTGGTCTACATCGTCGGCGGTGCTTCCCCCCGTGCCCAACAGCGAGGCGGTGCCGGCGCTTCTATCCCATCTCGCAGGTGCGCACCGCCGTGCTTTGGTTGATGCTATCGACACACCGGGTGCTTTGCTTCGCAATGCATTGCAGTGTTTTGCTGGAAATGCGAAGGGTGCTCCCGATCGATGTGCTTTGTATGCTTGTACCTATGGATACACGCTCATCCAGAAGCGAGATGGATTTGAACTTTGTGCGTAAGATACCACACCCCCTGTGGACAGTTCTTTTTTTCTTTCTTGACCTGAAAAACAAATCCAACTTTTTCAAAGCTCTGTTTACAGTCCTGCAGCGAAATCATTGACGGTGCCGAAATGGCGGCACTGGAACCGTCTCGTCGAGGGCTTCCCGAAAACGCATCGATTGATTTTGGCACCTTGTTCTTCGTGGAGTAACCTAGCCCTGAAACTCGTTCCAAGTGGATGTGGTATCTCTTCGGCGTGAGGCTACACACAGCAGTCTACACACGGGACAGAGCAGAGGGGAATACGGTCGAGAGGTTGGATCACTCGAGTTGCGCACCTAACAACGGCCTCGCCTTCCGGTGGAAACCTCAACTTCGACGACACCGTTCCACTCGCCCGACCCGTTGTCCACGTTTCTCCAACCCTTCCGCTCTCTCCCCGCCAGAGCTGCGATCGATGTGCAAGAGGCAGCGGGAGTCGGGAAGATCGATGCGCGGGGCTCTCGTGCGGAAGCAAGCCCAGCTGGACGATGCCTCCGCTGAAGCTTCTTGGCTGAGAGCCGAGCTCGGCTTCATCGTCGGTGACATGTGAGTAAACTACAGCCACAGACGCCTACCTCGCTCTACCTTTTGAGTAGCCACTGACGCCTCCCTCTGCCTTGTGCGGCCGCCTGCTGCCTGCCGCGTATGGCGTAGTCTGCAAGCAGCGCACCATGAGGCGCTCGAGCGTCGAGTCTAAGGAAACGGACAACGGGTATGGGTAAGGGGGCTGTCTCTGGACGATGCTGCCATGGCATTTGTGTAAACCGTGTGTCTACAGTAGGCCATGTTTGCTCGGGAAGACAAGCTGTACGCGCGAGTCACGCGAAGGAGCGGTGCTTTTTTGGGAGCTTTCCTCGCGCAGAAAACTTTTTGGGACACTGCTGTGTGTATCCGTCCGTCGTGCAGAGCAATTACTTGCTTCATTGCTTTCTGTTCTCGTGCTATTGGACTCAGTACCATTGGACGCTCCGTGGAAGATCAATTAGGAGTTCCATCCGCTGTCTGCTGCCTGCCTGGCTTTGCTCTGCCAACAGGCTCGGCTCCCTCCAGCGCAACCCCACAGCCTTGTCCGTCTTCTCGTCGCTCTCGAAACGCATCCGCAACGACCTCGGGGCTGAAGAGGCGGCAGTCTACATCGACATCGGGGACGGTACTCTCTGGCTGCTGCCCAAGGGAAGCAGCAGCGGCAGCAGCGGCAGCAGCGGCAGCAGCCAGCAACAAGATGAGGCCATCGGCGGCGGCGTCCACGACGAAGACGGTGATGACCGAGAGGTCTTCATACAGCGAGGGGTGGGTGTGGTCGGGCTGGTGGCGATGGGAGCGTTGCCCGGGGTGGCAGCGGTGGCGGCGGGGGGTGGCGAGCGAGCGGGGGGGGTCGACGGCGGGGTTGACGTTCTCCTCCTGAACGACGGGCTGGAGGCGTTCGACAACGGCACCACGGTGGAGGCGGCGCTGTTGAGGGCTGCGCGGCGCCGAAGGAAATCGAACGGCGGGGGAGTGGACGGGGGGGGGGGTGGTGGTACGACGAGCGGNGGGGGGGGGGGGGGGGGGGGGGGGGGGGGGGGGGGGGGGGGGGGGGGGGGGGGGGGGGGGGGGGGGGGGGGGGGGGGGGGGGGGGGGGGGGATGGTGGTACGACGAGCGGTACCGTCAGGA